GCATATACACTTTCTCCTCCAAAGTACCATTGAGGAAAGCTTTTTTGACATCGAGCTGATGAAGTGGCCAATCTAAATTTGCAACAAGAGACAACAATATGCGAACAGTGTTGAGTTTTGCAAATGGTGCAAAAGTTTCTTGATAATCAATCTCGTAAGACTGAGTGAACCCTCTTGCCACCAACCTAGCCTTGAATCGTTCAATACTTCCATCCGCATTATATATAACTGTGAATATCCACTTGCAACTTATAGCCTTTTTCCCATAAGGTAAATCATTCATAATCTAAGTTTTGTTTGCCTCCAATGCCTTAATCTCTTCTTCAACAACCTTTCTCCACCTAGGGTCCTTTAAGGCCTCATCAATAGTTTTAGGAATGAAGCAAGTATCAACCTTGGCTGTAAAGGCCTTGAATGCTGGCATAAGCCTCCCATATGCCACATATTTCTGAATTGGGTGCTGAGTACAACTCCCGACACCTTTCCTTTGAGCAATAGGTAGGTCAGAAGAATCAATTAAAGGAGCAATAGTTGTATCATTTAAAGCTGTCATACCTTCATAATCATTCATGGAAATGGGAATCGGATCAAGTTCTTGAGCAGTCCTAAGCTGTGTAGTAGGTTGTTTCTTCCACAGCCGTTAAGGAGCCATCAGCAGTCTTAACAATCGCTGAACCGTAGGCTGCATGAAATCGGTGAACAAATTTCGATTTCCTGTCATATGATCAGTAGCACTCGAGTCCGCAATCCAAGAAAACGGAGAAGTATTGGTTAGGAAGAAAGCACTACCAGATGGATTCATGGTCGCAGGAGTTTGGTCAACACAAGACAAATTTTTTCGAATCAGCTGGTTTAATTCTTCAAGCTGCTGCTGATTGAAATTGAGAGATGAGTCGGATTGCGCAACATCGGCAGAAAGATTCTGTAGTGGCGGTTGGCGTTGTGGTTTCCAATCAGCAAGTCGACCATGTAGTTTCCAGCAATTCTCCTTTAGATGGCCCGCTCGGCGACAATGATCACACCACGACTTACCAGATTTTTGTTTTCTGGAAGTGGCAGAATGCGTTAAGCTTCGATTGGGGAAGATTAGATCATCATTAGTGATCGACAGCTTTCTTCACGCCGAACCTCGGAGAACACTTCACCAATGGAAGGAAGAGGTTTGGTGCTGAGAATTCGGCCACGAACAACATCCAAACGCTTATACAGTCCATTGAGAAACTGGAAAATACATTTCTGGTTCACTATCTTCTTGTAGAGGGCAACATCAGTCGCACAAGTCCACGCATGAGCTTCATACAGATCGATTTGCTGCCAATATATGTTCAACGTGTTATAATAGTGGGTAACACTCAGATCTTCTTGCTTAAGGTCGGAGACTTTGCTTCCAATACCAAATAACTTAGAAATACTATTGGCGCTGGAATATGTCTCTTTGACAGCACTCCAGATTTCATGAGCAGTGGGATAGAGTAAAAAATTTTCGCCAATTCCAGGAGACATCGTGTTGACCGACCAGGACATAACCAAATTGTTTTCTTGAAGCCATTTTTCATAACCAGGATCGGTTTCACCAGGTTTTTCAGTACCGCCTATGATGTAGTCAAGTTTGCCTCTGCCGGTGATGTACATCTTCACTGATTGGGACCATTGAAGGTAATTATGGCCCAGCAGTTTGTGTACTGTTACAGAGGTAGAAGAATCAGCAAGGACATTGCTGCTAGGATGACCGTTGCTGCCGAAATTAATTTTTGAGGAAGAGGATGAAGCAATCGGAGAGAAATAGGAACGGTAATCCTAGACTGATACCATGTGAGTTTTAGAGAAACTAAACTCTCTTGAATTTTTATTTTCTTCTCACTTCATTTACAAAGTAAAGTCTGCTCTTACTTGTAGGAATCTGCACAGTAAAAATCTAACAAACTATTTTAAATTTAAAAAACTAATCCTAACAGCCTAATACTTGAGGATTTTTAACTGACAGAATCAATAACCAACAAATTGTACATACTTTGTTCATGTTCATGCACTTTTTGTGATATTTCTGTGTTGTTTGTCCATTGCTCTTTGTAGAACTTGGTGCACATTATTATTTAAAACTAGATTTTTTTGAAGCAATGAAATGAGGGATTTGTTTAAAGACCTAAACTGTCTCTGAATTTATCCTTGTTTTTGCGCAGTTATTTATTTAGCATGGGCATATATTCCTGAGCCTTGGTTACATTCAATTGGGATCTTCTATTATCCTAGCAGGTCAACAACATTTTCTGTGCTTGCTAAATTTAGGTCTTACATACTTCTCTGTATCTAAAAAGGGGATAAAATAATGCAGGACAAAGTGGTTTGCTCGAACTGTAGTGTTTGAGGGATGATTGGGGGTATACTATTACATTGATAGTATGTTGAAGCTTAGATCTTAGAATTTTATTACAATGAAAACAGAAAGGTAGGTTGTAGTAATCATTAGCGAATCTTTTCTCAATTGACATAAGCAAAACAATAAGACGAAAAATGCAGTTGTGGAAGCAGGGAATCACACACTTGGGGTGTGCTTCGTTGAGCGGAAAGTGTGTGATGAATGTGGAGAATTGAAAAGTAGAAAGAAAATTAATTGTGATTTTCCTTGGTAGAAAAGGAAAGTGAGATGAAAGAAAATACGAGAGATGATTATTTTTCAGCATAATGCATAAAAACAAATCATTCCAAATTAAAATGATAAGAAGATAGAAAATAAAAAAGATGTACCAAGTGTTCAAAGTTATGCATTTAAAAAAAAATCATTTTTCACTCTTATTTTTCAACTCTACCAAGCAATGTATGAAAAGAAAATTACTTTTTTTCTTTCAATTTTTCAGGTATTGGGCTTTGGCAGTTCCAACTTATGCTATGGTGATAATAGTTCTAGCTGTAACATTTTATATCGGCCTCAACTTCATGTCAACCCGCCACCAACTTCATTAACCACAATGTTTGGTAAGTTAGGTTGCTTTTCTATTGATGTGTTCATGGATTTTGCATCAGTAGTAGAAGTGTTTATAAAGATACCATAATATTCTTTAGTCAGAATGGTTTGTCACACGAGTCTGTTTCAAAATGGTTTTATACGTTTTTTGGATTGTTGGATTAACCGAGTTTAAAGTCTGAGCTTAAAGCTTTAAAATTTGAAGATAATCCACTTCTTTTTTCGTAAAAAACTCCTCATTTTCTACTGTTAATCTCATTCTTTCGTTTTCACCATCCAACAATCCAAAAAATGTGTTGTCAACGGATCCTACCTCATATATATATATATATATATATATATAGATATATTGCAAATGCATGAATGAAATTTAAAACCCATTTTGCATTTCTTTGTAGATGAATTTAGCAGAGAACCTTCAAGCTTTTGTCTCATATGGAGGGAGATGAGCTGCCAATTGAACCATTATCCGATCTTGGGATCGACAAGATTAACGTTCTCATGTTCGATGATACTAAATGACACGTCCACTCTAGTCATACATCTATCCTGCCTCTCCATTACTGGGCTTAGGGAAGCATTCATACTATCCTCTAAAACCTGATTAGTTGGAAAGTTTTGAAGAAACTGGAATGCAATTTTGAGTTTGTGGAAAAAATGTTTTGTATTAGGGTTATGATTATGGAGTATGAGGTGTATTTACGAGAGAAATCAAGTTTCCTCCACTCTGTAACATAAGGTTGAAGAGTTTTTTAGATAAATTCGAAGATGCATTATCCATTGTAATCGTATTATTTTGTAAATGATTTCATTTGAAATAAAGTATTGGGTAATGGTTTCATTCTAGAGAATGTAGCGATAAAAGTAGCACGATAATTTATATTTTGGTGATCAAGGGAAGATAATTTGATGTTTCATCCATAGGGATGTAAATGAATAAAGTGTTCGGTGAATTGCTTGTGAACCGTTCGTATAAAGTTTGTTTATATTCATTTGTTAAGTTAAATAAATGAACATGAACAAAAAAATTATGTTCATTTAATGAATGAACACGAACAGATGTGTGTTTGGTTCATTTATGTTCACGAACAAGTTCGTTTATGAGCTCGTTTCTCAACTCGTTTATTTATGTTTATGAACAAATTCGTTTATCTGATTCTCTTTTTTCTTTTATTTTTTTACACTTTAAATATTGGTGAAGATAAGAATTAAATAGTACACATAATAAAAGTTGCATTTTAAACTATGAATTTTAAAGAGTTTAAGCATCAGTGGTGTAATTTTATCATTTTTTATCTTACAAATGAAATTAAAAATCAAATATATAAATGAACGATAAACAAACACTAAAAAAATGCTAAATGAACACTAAATGAATGATAAACGAACTTGTTCATGAACACGTTTATTAACATATAAACGAACACGTTTGTGAACATTAAACGAACATATTCATGAACACATTCATGAACATATAAACGAACATGTTCATATGTTCGCGAACATTAAATGAACATGTTCGTGAACAATAAATAAACGAACACGTTTAAAAATAAATAAAGGAACATAAACACAATATTAAAAATTTAAAATAACACGAACTGAACAAGAACACCTTCAAAAATAAATAAATAAACACGAACATAACCTTATTCGTTAAAAAGCTCAATTCATTTACACCCCTATTCAACCACTCAAGGGATATTTATGATGCTTTCTTTTTGTAGAAGATTTTCAATATTAAGAAATCGTTCCATCTTTACTAATTTTAATTTAATTCAGTTGTTAAAAATTGCTGAAAATAGAAATATAAAATTAAAATTTTAAATAAGAATGATGATTATTTTTTAAAAAAAAATTATGTAGTGCACTTTAAAAACATTTTTTCTTCATATACAAAATAAAATAAAATAAATCTAAAAAAAGGAAAATAGAAATAGGGTTTCCGCATTCAAAGCACACATATAACTGTAAAAGGGGGTCCTTTTCCATGAAGTTGCCGCTTTCACGACCTCTTAACTACCAAAAACCAATTTTAAAGTTCAAACTTTAAACCCCCAACAGCTGTTACCAAAACCAAAGTGGGAAGTATAAGAAGAAGAAGAAAAGCTTAAAGCTTTTATTTGATAAGCAAGGAAACCCAGAAATCCTTATTGCATGTAAAAGGAGATACAATGTCAATGGATCTCAATGATTACACTATCATCAAGGAGGGAGAAGTTGAGATCCTTTTGCATGCTAAAAATGAAGTTTTTTACAACAAAACCCAGGTACCAAATTTGCTGTTTTTTTAGAAATATTTTATTGAATTCAAATGTTAGAATTTTGATTGGTTTTTCAGTTTAGTTGGTGGGTAGCTTTCGTTTGAATTGACGGCCAATTAAAATTTGATTGAATTCATGGTTAAATTTTTACTTAATTGGATGCTTTTGGTTTTGATTAAAAGGTTTTATATTGGGTAGCTTCCGTTTTAGTGTGTTAAGCTATATCTCTACCCTTTTTAGTGAGTATTGTGAAGTAATGTCACAACGTTTTGCTGCTCAGAAATGGCAGGAAAGGAGAGCAAGTAAAAATTTCTCTTTTCAATGCGTACTACACTTTGAGTGGGTGATTTATATTGTAGTGTTAGTTGTTTGTTTGGTTCTTCTGTAGTAGGGGATCCTAATTATTTAGTATGATAATAATAATTAGGTTAACAACAGAGACATGTCCATTGCTGTCCTGAGGACATTCATATTGAGACGGAAGCAGGAACATGAGGCATTGTTGTCTAAAAGAAACAAATCAGCAGCAAATGTGCCAGAGAAGAATGTTTTGATATCTGACATAGAAAATAAACCCAATGGTTCTGGTATGAATACCAAAAAATCAAATGAAGAATGTGAAGAGCCTGGAGAAAACCCTGAAGAAGAGTCTTGTACAACATCAGAAGAACCAGTTGAGACAGAGGGAAAAGTTCTAGGGGAGGTCAAACCACCAAGAGTCCTAGAGGTTTCTCCAAAGTCCTCTTTTTTCTCTGCTGTAAATTTCTATGCTTTTCCCTCCCAATGCTTGTCATGTCATTTTCTGAGTTAATTTTAAGGTGATTTTATAGGCCTTGTCAGCTTCTGGGTTAAGGGCTCTGAGATACGCTCGGGAAGTAGAAGGGATTGGTAAAATTATTGCCTTAGACAATGATAAAGGTATTATGCATGTATTGATGTTCTGGATATTATGTTTATATAATTTGAAGAATCGAGGGAGGACCTATAGTTTCTTCATTTCTGGTTCCTATGCATATCCATGCCTATACTGTGTTTCTTCTTGCAGAGGCAGTTGAAGCTTGCCAGAGAAATATAAAGTTCAATGGTTCTGTAGCATGTTCAAAAGTGGAGTCGCATCTCGCCGATGCTCGTGTGTACATGCTTACCAACCCAAAAGAATTTGATGTGGTATGATATATGATATTTGATCTTTTAAATTAACAACTTTATATGAAATTTTTGACTCCCTGCAAATGCATTTCATCTGATATGAATTTGCAGTTAAAGCTAGATTGAACTCTTTGGAAAATATTCAATGTAAATCGTTCTTATTATGCATTCATTTTATGTCAAAACCACTTTATACATATTAAAAGAAAGTTTATTAGTAGTTAACTTTTGTTGTTTTAGGGTGGAATTATTCAAAGCCAAGACTTGCTTATATTCTTTACTCCCAAATTTTGTGTTTCAGGTTGATCTTGACCCTTATGGTTCTCCTTCGGTGTTCCTGGACTCTGCAGTTCAATCTATTGTCGATGGTGGCATGCTGATGTGCACTGCAACTGATATGGCAGTTTTATGTGGGGCTAATGGGGAGGTCTGTTATTCCAAGTAAGATTTATTACTTCCACCATCTTTTGGCTATGGTTTTGAATATTTCAGCTCGTCTTATAACTGCACATGGGAGCAGATATGGATCATATCCATTGAGAGGGAAATACTGCCACGAAATGGCTTTGAGGATACTCCTAGCCTCCATTGAGGTAGTTTCACGACCTTCAGAAAGCATGTTCTTAAGCAATGAAAAAAATTTATTTAGTAAAGGACTCCTTTATTCTTTCACTTGCAGAACTTCTAATTGGTAAAGGACGTTAGAAAACATAAATGTAATTATTACCTTGTCTTAGAACTGCATTCTTTTAGAATTGAATTCCGATAAAATCTTTTTATTTGGCATCATTTGTACATCTTTCTACAGAGTCATGCAAACCGCTACAAACGATATATTATTCCTGTACTCTCTGTCCAGATGGACTTTTATGTCCGTGTTTTTGTTCGCATATACACGTACGTGGCCTGTTTTATTTTAGTTTATTAAAGTAGAAGTTACTCTAACATAATGATGATGGAATGGCAATTAATTCGGTGCAGTTCAGCAAGTGCGATGAAGAATACTCCCCTTAAGCTATCATATGTCTATCAGTGCATTGGTTGTGATTCTTTTCATCTACAGCCTATCGGGAGAACTGTTTCTAAGGTGTGCTTTCTTATTTACAATGCCATTGGTGCTTCGTATTTGTTATCATGATGCACATCTGAACTCCATTCAATTGCTTATTGTTGCCATCGGAGACACGTTCATGCAACTAGTAGGTTCTACAGAGTTGTGATGATTTTAGAACTTTTCGTATGTTATCTGACAACATACTTCTTGCTGTTTAATGTGTGCTATGTTGCATCGAAGACTATTTTTCTTGGTGTAGTATAATTTTGAATTGCACGATATTTTGATATTATGTCTACCTTTGTATTTCTAGAATACCAGTGTGAGGTATCTCCCAGGCTTTGCACCTGTTGTCCCTCAAGAGTGTAGCCACTGTGAGAAGAAATTTAACATGGGTGGACCTATATGGTCTGCTCCAATCCATGATCAAGAGTGGGTAATGAACATACTAGAAGATGTAAAATCAATGAAGGATCGTTATCCTGCCTATGATCGCATCTCTGCTGTTTTGACTACCATTTCAGAGGTATGTGTTTTTTTTCCATCAGCTGTTATTTCAATAACTTGTAGCCATCCCATTTTCTACTGTGATACTAAATGTTGAATCAAGGATCAATATGACTGTTTTCACTCTAATATTTCGAAAATTAAATTGTTAGCTACAATCTTTCTATAAACATCCAGTGCATTAAACCTATACAGAGTTTGGCACTTTTTTTGATATTCTTTTATGTTCGTTACCTGATTCGGATTTCTTTGCAGGAATTGCCCGATGTGCCTCTCTTTTTGAGTCTGCACAACCTTTGTGCTACACTAAAATGCACTTCCCCATCTGCAGTAATTTTCCGCTCTGCTGTGATCAATGCAGGATATCGAATTTCTGGAACCCATGTGAATCCATTAGGACTAAAATCGGATGCTCCCATGGATGTCATTTGGGACATAATGCGCTGCTGGGTAAGGGGCTTCTTTTATTTTGTTTCTGTACTTCATTTTGCGTTAGCGTGCACTCGGAAATAAAGTTAAAACAAGTAAACTTGATTACTTATTGGGATTTCAAACTCAACTCTAGTGCATTAATTTGGTCGAGACGTGTAATGGTGTTTCATAAGATTTTGTTCTCTTTAGGTTAAAAATCATCCAGTGAAAGCCCAACCAGCTGATCAGTCCGGAAGTGTGATACTTGCCAAAGAACCAGTTCTTCAAGTATGTTTCCTATGTTGCATTCTTTAATCGCTTACTATTACCCTGCCATTCCTGGTCTTTTGGTCCTTGTTTTGTGTTCCACATGTGAACAGATGCATTCTCGAACATAAACAAGTTCTGATTGTAGGTGGCAATGGCAAAGGTTCCTTTTAACACCCGCAACCCTTTTCCTTTTGGCAGGCAAATTTTGCTCGAGCTGTTGCATCCCTGAGCAAGGCACAAGCGAAGAAGGTTGCTCGATTCCTTCCAAATCCTGAAAGGTACTGGGGACCGAAGCTTAGGGCAGGCCGCCAAATCACCAGCAAGCACATATCACTTTTGGGTGAAGAGACGGTAAATGGATGTCTCAGCCATCAAGATAGCGAACTCAACACCAAACGGCAAAAATCCGAAGAGATAGAGGATGCTACCACAGCATAGACCAGGCTGCCATTAAACTTATATTACTTCCATCTCCTAAAAATTATCATGGTTGAATGCATGTTAGAGTGATTGTAGCAACATAATCAATTTTGCAAAATGTGATTTCTATACTTGATTAAATTAGCAAGCACATGATTAAGTTATAATTTCATTGGACTAGAAGAAGCTAAAGATTGTCACAAAATGAATTAATGTAATTGAATCATTCAATGCCTTGTATCTTAAGAACTCTATTGGATGGATACATTTACCTTATGATAATTATTTATCTATAATTTTAAAGGTAAAATACGCACTTTTTGATAATATCAGATCTTATCGTCTAAGATACGTTTATTACCAAAAAGTAAAAATCATAAAGAAAATAATCAAATGTATACTTTTATTACAGAGACTGTCGCACGTAGGAATAACATTTCAACAGGATTTGCCAAGTTCAAGTATTGAATAGGTTAGGGCCATTTGATTGTGCTCCGAATAAAGAAACATGTATTTGGATAGAGAAAAACAAGTTTATAGTTGGCGTAGACATCGATAACACTCATCTTAGAACAACGTTCAACTTTTTCTGCAACTGTTCTCGCACGTTCCACTGCGTTCACAAAAAAAAAAAAACACTTTACAATGGCGTTTTACCTCAAAAGAACAATTCAAAACTAACATGTAGTAGCACCTGCAGATTGTTAATCTCCTCATCCGTGAGGGAATGCTCCATGGATCGATATGCAATCCGATAACAATGACTCCTCATTCCTTCTTGTTCGTAAAGTTATCTATCAACTCACCTGGTAGTGGCGAAACAAAAAGTTATCTATTAAACTCCTACCACAAAAGATGGTCAAATGCTTTGTATTACGGTTGTTGAAAGACTTTAGGTGATTGTTATCATTTTAAATTGCTTACCTCTTCAACAAGATCCCCAACTATTCCTCTTATAACTTCACACAAGTTGTTCTCCGTAAACGATTCATTGATCCAAAAACTCATGTCTTTGTAACAGGGATGATACTGCAAAAACAATTGAGTTGTCAACCCATGCTTCTGCAGTAGGCATTAAACAATTAAAAGGATATAAAAACTGTGGAAAACTGCAAAATTTATACCTTTGAAAAGGGTTTAAACTTCACTCCCATTTGACCTTTGGAAAATTGTAATCAATCAGCTCAATCAGATTTTGGAGGAGACACTACATTAGGATTCCATGAATTCAACATTCAAATCATGGAGCTACATTCAGTAGCTACCTGTGAGGTAAATCGCTCATCGGTTGTCCAAAATAGGCGAATATCTGGAATGTCGAATAAAATCATTGCTAGCCGCTCCAATCCAAGTCCAAAGGCCCAAGCAACACTGTCCGGTCTACCGTTACTTTTCAATATTTCTTGCTCCATCGCCCCACAACCCAAAACCTCCATCCATTTCTCCTGAAATTTGTTGTAGGTTGCTGGTAAGTTATACTTGATGCTAAGGTTTACCACATGCACTAGTAATTAACTTAAAATGATTCAGATAGAACAATAATCAATGTAGAAGTACGATGAACATTGTAATCAATCAAGTAAAGGAAAAGGCAAAAGCTACTCAAAATACTTCAACCAAATAATTTAAACTAAAAGAAAACACTAAGACCATCTTACAAAAAAGACGAAGAGAATACCTTAAAATAGATCTCAAGTTCATAAGGATTGGTAAATGGGAAATAGGCATCAATCCAACGCATCTCCACAGCACCTGAAACATTAACAACTTGAGGCTAATTGGTGTATTGTAGTCTTTAGTCTTTACAATGCAAACCTTTGACAAGTAACATCATAAAAGGATCAAAATTTATAGTAGCCAGTTAGATACTTCCCATAAAATCTTTAATAGATTTCACAGCACTAATATATACATCTCCATGCTATCTCCAATAAAATAAAATAAAATTGCAAATCTGCAATTAGTTTCTGTCAAAAAAGCTCCATCGCCTTACCAAAACCAATAGTATATTCATGATGTGAACAAAGATATTGGTTCAATATGGAAAATGATTTTAGCCAACGCCAATAGTATGCATCATTTTGCAAACATGCAATCCCTCAATACAGTTTTGAATCTAAAATTTACCGCATAAGTCACGAGCTAGGCCTCCTAGACTTTTCTTTAAGTCCTCAGCTGCATATGAGGTTGGATCCAAACCTGATCCCTCCCAAATATCTGGAGTAAAAACACGAACCCCTTCCATCTGCAATATAAAGGGGAATATACGTTAGAGGGGAACAAAAGAAATAACCCTTAACTAAGAACATTATCATCTTAAAACAAATTTTACATGTCAAATCAAAGCTCTTCACCATGTGAATCCTCAAAGGACCCCATGGTAGTGCCAACAAATGGCCGAGCTGCACTTGTAGATTGGGCAGAAAATTACCAAAGAGGAGAATTTTATAAAGCTAGTAAAAATTGAAGATATTTTCAACAAATCGAAACCTGATGGAACAAAGGGTAATGGGTAGAATCTATAGAATCTCTGCGGTAAACATTGCCAGTTACAAGAAAATGAGTGTGTCCCCTTCTCAACAGCTCTGCTTGATGAGCACTTGTATGACACCTCAGTAAGGTTTGAGAGTAAACATAATATGTATCATTATAGCTCCTGCTTACATGATCGGCAGGCACCAGTACATCATCAAAGTTCTGGAAAAATAATAAATAAAGATTTACTGCCATAACCAAATAAGTATTCTCAAAAACTTATCCAATGATCCGACATATATTATAACATAATTAAGACAATTAAATTAATTCATCATACCAAGGACAAAATGATTTCTTAAGGAGCACATAAAACTGGATAAAAAGAGGCCTAGAATCCAATAACGTAGATTTTTTAAGATATAAGTGCGAATTAATTCATTAATCATTCCATCGCTGAAGAATTGAATGACCCTAAAACCAAAATAAAGACTGTTTTAGAAGTTCGTCATACCGCTTGCAGAGCTCCAAAAACAACTACGCAGAAAAGTAAAACCCTTGTGCACTGAAGGACTTAATGATACTCAAATCACATTTTCAATATAACGAATTGACTAGAAAACCCTGGAATATTGAACAAACATGCTTATGAAGACATTTGTAAGGAGAAAAAATGTCTACTCTCTCTCTCCCTCGGTCACAAATCCACAGATAAACACATACAGAGAGATTCAAACTTACAATGTAACCTAGGAAATCCATAAGGTAATATATAAGCAGACAAGCTTCTGCTATCTACAAAAGTTCATAGAGATCATAGGATTGAATTTACAGAAATATCTAACCTCAAAAGATATTCCCTTTCCATCCATTATTATCTACGAGAGGAAAAGAAAATTCAGGGAGCAGTGGATCACGTTGTACCTGTTTCACTGAAACAATTGGGCAGAGATCATCAAACTTATCGAACATAGTCGGGAAATTAGTATCAAAATATTCATATATCCCATTCTTCAGAATCCCAAGTGGGTGGTCATTCCTTCTGTGGAGCTGCATTCCCAGTTTCGAGAAATCATGTCCGGAACAGTGTTTGTCGGGTCATCCCTCACCACATCTACAAATCCCAACATCCAATAAACACTAAGCCAAATGTAAACAATGAAAAAAACATAAATCCATGAATCAAAATCCCTCACAATAAAAATAGTTAAACAAAAAAAATTATCAACAATTGATTCCCATTGCAGATTATTTTCAATCATTTAACATTACAACAGGGAGGGTGTAATCGGCTTAGATTAACCAGCTTATAAACATCTTCCATTACAAAGCATACCAAACAAATACCCAATAAATTTAATTTCCTTTATCAAATACAACTTGCACATACAAAGGGAATATTCTCCTAGCTCCAAAATTATATTAATTTAAGGGGATAATGCCCATTCCCCGAAGAACGAAAGTGCAATAATAGATCGACTCATCAAGTTAAAATGCAAAATCAGAAAACACTGAAATGACGCAGTTCAAGAACAGTCAAGAAGAAACCAAGTTCACAGAAAAAAAACCCATTTTTATACCATCTTTAGCAATTTTGATTCCACGAAGCTCTAACACGGAGAAAGCCGCCGGTTGTCTCCATTTTTTCTTAGAAGAAAGAGAATTGGTTTGTTTATCTAACATATTTCTCAAGGTAAATTAAATCTTAGATCATTCTATTATGAATAAGTTTACTAATTAGTCATTGTATTTTAAAAATTTGCAATCGAGTTTTTTAATTACAAGTGAGCCTTGATGAGTAAGTTATACCACATGTCGTTGTATAATGAGTAAATTTATTATCAGATCACTTTATTTATAGATTTTAATAATCATGACACTACAATAAAAATATGTTGACATTATAGAACATATAATGGCTAAATTTTTAATTTAAAAAAAGATTGAACTTCAGGACTAAATCTACTTTTTATTATTGTAACTTCTTAAGTGAATTACATTACTTCCCTAGTAAATCTCCTAAAAAATAAGATAATATTAATACATGAGTAAAGAAGAAGAAGAAAAAGAATAAGAGAATGAGAAAAAAAAGAGGAAGAAAAAGAAGAAAAGGAAGAAGATGAAAAAGACTACTCTTCCTCTTATTATTCTCACTCTTCTTCCTCCTCCTCATCTTCTTCTTCCTCTTCCTTTTTTTCTTCTTCTTATTCCTCTTTTCTTCCTCTTCACCCTCTTCTTCTTTCTTCATCATCTTCTTCTACTACTACTACTTCTTCTTTTCTTCTTTTTCATCTTCCTCTTCTTTTTTCTTTTCTCTTTTTTTTTTTCTTTTTCTTCTTCTTCTTCCTCTTCCTCTTCTTCTTCTTCTTCTTCTTCTTTTTCTTTTTTCTCTTTTTCTTATTCCTCTTCCTCTTCTTCTTCTTCTTCTTCTTCATCCTCATTTTCCTCTTCTTATTCCTTTGCTTCTTCTTCATCTTCCTCCTCATCTTCTTCTTATTCTTCTTCCCCTTTCTCATATTTCTGTTCCTCTTCTTCTTCTTCTTCTTCTTTTTCTTCTTCTTCTTCTTCTTTTTCTTCTTCTTCTTTTTCTTCTTCTT